ACCCTTTTTGAGACTGCTGTGTGATTTGGTAGGACATTTGACCCTTTCAGTGACTGCTGTTTGCTTGGGTAGGACATTTGACCCTTTCTGAGACTGCTGTGTGATTTGGTAGGACATTTGACCCTTTCAGAGACTGCTGTGTGATTGGGTAGGACATTTGACCCTTTCAGAGACTGCTGTGTGATTGGGTAGGACATATGACCCTTTTAGAGACTGCTGTGTGATTGGGTAGGACATTTGCCCCTTTTAGAGAAACCACTATACAACAGTTTCTATAAGTAGTAACAGATATACCACTTAATTTAGCGATTGCGATCCTCTCCAGAGGTAGGGACACTTGATCTAGGATATAATGGTTTACGTTGTGCACAAATTATACATTTTCTGCACCCTCTCTCAACATCATCAGACAGGCCAGACCAGTAATCTCTGTCTGTGACATAGTTGTGTCCCTTCGTAGATCACTTGCAGTACAATCCTTATTGAGGATATTGTGATACAGAAAATGAAAGTGAGGACGTATTCTTTTAAAAAAACAAAAGTTTTATTAACCACGCCCATCGTATATATCCACTAGAACTGGAAATAAAGGACATGGCTGACTCTTCTACAGCAGCCACTAATCTCGATTATTTACTACAACTAAATCAATATGAACAGTTTAACATCAAGTTGTATCAAAAGTGCGATGATGCAATGATTCAATTTTCCCTATTGTGAATTTTCTATTTCTGGATAGCAACACTCTTGCATCCCTAACCTCTGTATTTTACATGTCTCAGATAACTCGATTTTCAGATGGCTGTTCTCAATATCATGATTTTCGTGCAAGATGTCATCAACTGACAGACAAACTAATAACACAGGGTTTTAAACGATGATGGTTGATGAAAATTATGGGTAAGATTTACGGTCGTCATAGTGATCTCATTGAGATTTCGTGGAGGGATATGAGGTTTAGTGTTGTTGATATTCGTTAATTTTCCTGTTGGTTGGTGATGGTTGTCGAGAAGACGCTTACTCTTCCGGAACACCTGGTCTTATTCTCCTTGTACTTTTTCCATGATTCTCCTTGTAAATCTTTCTTTTGTTTATAGTTTGCTCTAGTTTAATTGATTAGAGTTATAATTTTGATTATATTTACACCTTGGTATTTTCTGGTTTATACACACTAGTTAATATTAAATGTTAAATACTTTGAAATAAAATGAATATGCTACTAAATTTGAAATACTGGCAAAAGCGAGCGATTCATTTTTTTGTAACCAGCTGTAAATTAGAAGCAGCAAGGACTACGTAACCATTACAATTTAAGGATTTCTACAGACTGGGTACGACTGAAGTGTGAGTTCAGTAGGTTTTCTATTGTATTCTGATGTTACACAAGATATATTAAACATAACAGACCTAACATATTAGAAAATAGTGTGACTTTTAGAGACAGGGAACCTGGGATCACGAAGGGAAAAGATGAAATAATGATAGCCTATAAAAATAAGAGAAGTTGGATGGTTCCAACAGGTCTGACATAATACTGTAGTATTGTGTTTATTTCCCCAAGAGCATTTTATAAATATGATACAATGACTAATTCATGCAGAATGACCGCGCTTTATATTGGTATTACAGAAATAACATGAATTTGGGAGAAACATTGTTAAGGGTTTGAATCAGGTACAAGCCTTATAGCAATATATTATAAGACACTGTTGAATATTAGACATATATGATGGATCAGTGGCAAATAAAATTACTGCATGTGTTTAGTCAAAATTGATCTAAATCATGTTTGTTTAATTGATATGCCATAAGGGCCTCTCGGTAAAATATGTTTAATATAAACTCTGACAAGGAATGTAGATATATATACTAAATTTAGTATTTGAAACGGAGGCAGTAGTAGTTACACTATGGAAATGGAGGGGTTTTAAGACGTATGATTGGAGTAAGTCAAATATGACAAGTATCAAACCTTACTTGTTGGTGATGGTCAACGATGTCCACATTTTCTTATTTAATTCACATGTTCCACACTTTTTCAGGAAACGTTTCTAATATGAGCCAGGCATTGCCTGAAAAGAGCAAAGCTTACATGCCATACTGACCTTCTCAGTAGAAAGGGTCACGAAAATAAAACATCAAGAAATTTTGATCAACTGGTTATCGGTTAAAAATATTAATATAAACTGGCGCGCTACGACGAGTGATCGGTCGCACAATTGTTGTGACGTTGCTGTTTTGTGTTCTGGTGCAATGACGTCATGAGTTTTGGTAGGCGTTATATGCCAAGTACTTGGCAATCTCTACCAGAGTTGTCGTTCCTTAACAGTCAAAATACTCCTCTGTAAACGGTTCATGGGATACCATTACTTGACCTCGCGGTCAGGGTCAAGGTTTGACGTAGGCCAAACCCGAGGCCGCATTCCAGACAACACCAACGATGGACACAGCTGTATGCCATCGATCAGCGTTAAAACAATATTTGCGCTTTTTGAAAAGTTCAGAGCCAGAGTGTGAGCCAAATTACCATCACTGATATCACTGTATCTAAACGTGTATCTCAAGAGTATGGAATATAAACAAGGTGCTTGGTGACTGTTTACTCAGAATTAATCCTCCGTGTTATAATTCATAGAGTTTATAACCATGTAAAACAATGTAGTCCTTTTCCAGATGTAACAAACATGATACAAATAACAAAACAGAAAAATAATGAGATTCTTTATGATTGGACAGAAACACGTTTTTCAAGAATCTTGAAATGCCATGAGGCGTTTACAGAGGTGATATTGAGATACCACACTGCATTCTGGGCGAAAACGAGCACTTTAAATTTTAATTCATGCCATTTTCACCTGTGTACAGTCTTCTTTATGTTAAGCAATAAATAAAAGTAAGTCAAACAAATCTATGAGAGCGAAACTGTTATTATTGTATTTTTCAGTAACACTAATGTTAGCTACGGTAGAGATGTGCCTTGAGCTTACCAATTGTCACACATGAAAGGATGTCTAATAATAACAGTTTGTAAAACGTTGTGTGTACCAATGTATAGTATGATACATCTAAAGGACTTCCGAACGTGGCGACCATATTGTATACTCCATATGAATGGATACACTTAAAGCAGCTGTGTATTTCAGTTTTCAGACAGAATAACGACGTAGATACAAATCTCTTGAAGTAAATGTTTATTGTAATACATAAAGTTTATTCTGCGACATCTATGTCATGTCCATGACTTATGATTCATCATTTGTACATATTCTCTGAAAATGCATAAAAGTTCTACATATTCAATGTTGTTTTAATGTGTTCCCGGCTTATAGATGCATTTTTAGTCGCAACATACATGAAACTCTACTTTCATTATCTATTTGATTTGTGTTTTCTCATACTGATTTATATATTTATCGTCCTTCATGACAATATTGTGATATATCGTCAATGATACTTAGTAATTAGGAAGAGAAGTCCGTGGTCAATGCTAAGTGGAATTAACTTTACCCATTTTGGTCATTTATCAGTAACTTTCTTATATATGATTCCGAATTTTATAAGCAAGATGATTATTTAACTCAAAGTAACAATATCGATATAACATGTCGCCGATAAATTTGTTAACCAAGCTCTGAAACGTTAGTAATTTCATATCGAAGTGTTCTGACATGGCTGCTGGCGGAGTGTACGTGATCTGTGCCGTTCATATCGAAGTGTTCTGACATGGCTGCTGGCGGAGTGTACGTGATCTGTGCCGTTCTCGGCTTCATATTTATAAGTTCTTTCCGTTGCTTGTTGTTGATCTTAAAATGGTTTTCAAGTTTTAATATCGCAGTATATCAATCATTCGCCTCAAATCTCAATATCGTTGTGATAAGTCCCTGATAAAATTTAATAACTTAAGCGACGAAAGGGCCAACATTTCTCCACAACCCTAAACGCCCCCAAATCTCCCGCTGGATACATTTCCGTCACGAAGACAATACAGTCATGCGTGATCTTACGAGAACTGAGGTTTTATTATATATTTATTTATGTATGTATTTATTTATTGGGTTTTGCATCCACTATTACGACCTTTCAGCGGTGGTTTCTAATCTCTGTGTTATGTAAGTCTTTGGATATGGGTAAAATGTAGAGAACCCATACCCCATTCCTTTCACTTCCGGATGCTTCATGGTTTACGGAAGAAGTTTTCTCGGAAGGATAAAGTCTTTGGACATCTCGTCCTAGACGTGAACGAAACGTGATCTAAGACATATAACTGCTATAGAGCTGTGCTCTGGCGCCTCTGGAGCCCTAACAGATTCGCTCTTATAAACGGATATGTAAAACGATCTCTTAAGTACGGTACACGTGATTCCAAGAAGGGAAATAACTCCTCCGTAATCGCGATTACTGCCATTGCACACCATGTTTTATCGAGGATGTTTTCTGTTGCGACACAATGTGATTAACTGTATTTCTTTACACACAGCTACAAACTAGCGGTGTATCTTGAGCACGTTGAAAAAACTGAATTCTAGATTGATGAAAAAAAAAAATCTAAAATTGAACAAGGTGCACACAAAATTGCTCGAATCGTTATTCATTCATGTAAAACGAAAATTCACGCATCAACTGGTGCAGCCTAGACAAAATACGCTGGCCGAGGCTCGTACATGAAAAATTGGATTCTTATTCATGCGAATGGTGAGAAAAATGTTAGCAAACCATGACGACATGGTTGGTTTGTACCAGGCTCAATGTACTTATTTGTGAAGCCAATTAACATTAAATATCCTCTGATACCAGACTGCCTGTATACATTCGGATCGATACATGGATTAGGTTCAAATTCTGTGTGCCGTAATAATTGCAATTAGAAAAAATTATCGATGTCAGACAGCAGCTTAGGTTTTTAAATATAGTCATCTACAATATATGAATATCTAATGGAGCTATATTTACTCAATACAGACGCCGAGGATATGCTGGAGATGAGAAAGAGATGATCAGCCATGTTACAATTCTGGGGTGAGGTATTAATTGTCTTACTTGTTTGCTGTGTGGCCTACTTCTACTGGTCCCTGTATCGACTACACCTGAGATATAACCATTTACCAGGACCTCCACTAGACAGGTATGTAGAATACTTAAGATACAATGTTTTCCTGTGAAACCACTGTCCAATGTTTAGTTCTTCGGTTCTCGGCACTGCGTAATCCACAAACTGACAACGGTGTAGAATGTGATCGATATTATATCAGCACCGTTTGTTACAGCCGCGTGAGCCAAAAAACGCAGACATTTTCACGCTCTAATTTGTAAGGAAACACACCTAGCACAAAAATATGAAAGTAAATGCGCCTCGAGAACTGATGGCATAATACTGTGTCCTTGTTAAGAAACGTTGTTTATTTGGCCTGTTTATTTGGTCCTCCAGGGCTTCATATCCTCAACATTTACACAAAAAGAAACACGGTGATATCAATTTCGTGACCTCAATGAATGACCTCTTGGAGGTCAGTTCTGTTCCGAATGTAATCCATGATGGAGCTTGACCTTTACAACCCTTGTATAGATTAGGATGTTCCTGTTACCATACCTATGTATATATTGTACACATACGTTTTATAAACATCATAGCCAGGGAGATATTTGAGATTTCGTGGATTCCTAGGCATTGATCACTGTACTTACATATGTCGGTCATTAGTAGCGAGAACTATGTGTATTCAGTAAAAAGTAAAACCGTACATATTGATTGGTATATAATGGAAAATCTCACCAGAGACTACAGCTGTCGATATGATATTTGGTTATCGAAATAAAGATTTATGTCACGTGATCAATTAGAGAAGATACATCCATGTGTCACAGTAATATGTACAGGTCACTACTGTACAATATTTCCTGTAATATTTTATTGACAGCAAACAGGAAATAGCAATCTTATCTATTTAAGCGACACGATACAAATATAAATCAGAAATAAACAAATATCTTCGCATCGTTTTAGTTACTGTTTTCACATACATTTTCCCTTGTCCTTTTTATTGAAAGTGATATAATTTGTGTAGGTAGGTAATGATCCTCAACAACAGGGAGATAGATTCGCTCTTGTGTATCTTTACTGCTGTGACATTGTCTTTTCTCTGACATGTATGATATAACTCGTGTTTTAACAAAGAAAGTATTTGAAGTGTGTACTGCCTGTTACTAAATAACCTCACTAAGCTGTCAAAACTACAATAAATAGTTTTATAAATGAGCTACTTATTGTGGAACGAAATAATGAGGGCGTTCGATAACGTCTGACATCAGGGCCTACTTTTAAAAACTTCGCAGCCTCGGTTTTAATAGTCCAGTGTATGACGTCATACGTGACGCCTACAATGGGACGACGAGTGCAATAAGGCAAGGGCGTGTGTTCTTTGTACAAAGTATTCCTGAGTGAGCTACTGAAAAAAACTACAGATATAGAAATTGGGGGCAAATATCCTGACCATACCAGCTGGTAACTTGACCTTGGCTGATGACATCGCCCTGATTGCAGTCTGTCCAACAGTCCTCCAACGTATATTTAACATTTGCTATGAGTATAGCCAACCATGGAAATTCTCGAATAATAACTCGAAATCCTCTATTTCGATATTTGAAAACTTTATGCCAAGAACTCCCGACTTCAAATGACTTCTAGGTGAAGAATGCATCCCGTGTCAGGACTCACCAGTGCATGTTGGTATGCTGAGTCTTACGTCACTGACGAACAGAGGACGTATTGACCGTGCATGGTCGAAGCTTACTGCACGCGATCGTGAGCTTTAAGCAATGGAATGACTGCGATATCAATCCGTACAAAAAAGTAAAATTGTACAGAACTGTGAGTTTGAGCTCTGTTCTTTATGGATTTGAGCTCTGGTCCCAGCTGACAATCTCGGATTACCAGGACAATTTCAACACTACGGAGCCAAGCATGTATTAAATGTCCCGGAATCAACGCAATGTGACACGGTGGAAAGCATTCTTGAAATCATCAGAATAGATGCTGAAATTTCCAGGAGGAAACTTGTGTTCCTACAAAAGATTGTTCTCTCGAAAGTAAATATAATGAGAAAATGGGTTTTTTTTTCACGCGAATGTATAATAATTTCCTTTCGCCCAAAAATACTAACGCGAAGGTGAAGGGAGGTTTCATTCCCGATATCGCGACTATTTTGACTAATTATGGACTTATTGATCATTAGAAAATTTACCTCAAAGTCAAGTATTTTCCAAAAAAAATCGGTCTTGAAAGGAAAAGTAAATCGTGTTATTTTTTTCCATTGGAAATAAGTTCCTGAGAGATAGACACAATTGTGACTCGGACTTTTGTCTGTTTAAGCATATCCATTGTAGCTACAGGACCTTAAAACTTCTTAAATGCCCCTACAAATGCACAGCAACTACATCAAATACTTGACTACTATTCTTAATATAACTCCTTGTCATCATTGCCGCAGGACAGTGATGATGTCATCTTACATCTTGTAAGCAGTGTAGCCTGACAGAGCCGACATTGTCAGATTTCCTGAAGGATGTGATTTCTAACCATGGAGTGTCACACGGCCTTGGTTAATATGAACAGTGCGCTGTTCCTAGAGACTGTTTAAGGGGCCAGCTGGTACCAAGTTGACAGTATCCTCAGTAGATACAAGTTTCCTTAATGTTAAAACGTCCATTCCAAACATTATGATATATATAGAACTAGTAAGGGGTTCCCTGATATGTATCCTTAATGTTAAAACGTCCACCCCAAACATTATGATATATATAGAACTAGTAAGGGGTTCCCTGATATGTATCCTTAATGTTAAAACGTAAGAATAGATCCAGGGTTTTGATGAAATGATTACTTATGGTAATGTGTCATTCCAAACATTATGATATATATAGAACTAGTAAGGGGTTCCCTGATATGTATCCTTAATGTTAAAACGTCCACCCCAAACATTATGATATATATAGAACTAGGAAGGGGTTCCCTGATATGTATCCTTAATGTTAAAACGTCCACCCCAAACATTATGATATATATAGAACTAGGAAGGTGTCCTCTGATATGTATCCTTAATGTTAAAACGTCCACCCCAAATATTATGATATATATAGAACTTGGAAGGGGTTCCCTGATATATATCCTTAATGTTAAAACGTCCACCCCAAACATTATGATATATATAGAACTAGTAAGGGGTTCCCTGATATGTATCCTTAATGTTAAAACGTTCACCCCAAACATTATGATATATATAGAACTTGGAAGGGATACACTGATATATATATCCTTAATGTTAAAACGTCCATTCCAAACATTATGATATATATAGAACTAGTAAGGGGTTCCCCGATATGTATCCTTAATGTTAAAACGTCCACCCCTAACATTATGATATATATAGAACTAGTAAGGGGTTCCCTGATATGTATCCTTAATGTTAAAACGTCCATTCCAAACATTATGATATATATAGAACTAGTAAGGGGTTCCCTGATATGTATCCTTAATGTTAAAACGTCCACCCCAAACATTATGATATATATAGAACTAGGAAGGGGTTCCCTGATATGTATCCTTAATGTTAAAACGTTCACCCCAAACATTATGATATATATAGAACTCGGAAGGGATACACTGATATATATCCTTAATGTTAAAACGTTCACCCCAAACATTATGATATATATAGAACTAGTAATGGGTTCCCTGATATGTATCCTTAACGTTAAAACGTCCACCCCAAATATTATGATATATATAGAACTTGGAAGGGGTTCCCTGATATGTATCCTTAATGTTAAAACGTTCACCCCAAACATTATGATATATATAGAACTTGGAAGGGATACACTGATATATATCCTTAATGTTAAAACGTCCATCCCAAACATTATGATATATATAGAACTTGGAAGGGGTTCCCTGATATGTATCCTTAATGTTAAAACGTCCACCCCAAACATTATGATATATATAGAACTAGTAAGGGGTTCCCTGATATGTATCCTTAATGTTAAAACGTCCACCACAAATATTATGATATATATAGAACTTGGAAGGGGTTCCCTGATATGTATCCTTAAAGTTAAAACGTCCACCCCAAACATTATGATATATATAGAACTAGTAATGGGTTCCCTGATATATATCCTTAATGTTAAAACGTCCATCCCAAACATTATGATATATATAGAACTTGGAAGGGGTTCCCTGATATGTATCCTTAATGTTAAAACGTCCACCCCAAACATTATGATATATATAGAACTTGGAAGGGGTTCCCTGATATGTATCCTTAATGTTAAAACGTCCACCCCAAACATTATGATATATATAGAACTTGGAAGGGGTTCCCTGATATGTATCCTTAATGTTAAAACGTCCACCCCAAACATTATGATATATATAGAACTAGGAAGGTGTCCTCTGATATGTACTTATTAGAATTCTCTCCGAAATTAGCCAAAGTGCAGATTTAAACATGTTATTTCATTTACCAATTGAAAGTGGAAATTGTCACGGAGACCAATGTCCATCCTGTTGCCTCCTATTTGTTTTTATTTATATTCTCTACACTTTGTTGTTGATAAGAATACATCAGTTGTCATTGTATTTTATATTGACATCACAGGTGCAACCCTGTCTTAGTTAGGAAACAATGTTTCCTATGGTAAAGACAACTCACAGGCGCACTACTCACTGCATAGTCAATACGTCCCGTAACCCTAGTGCAATTGGGTAACGTTATCAATTTTGACACATATTTCTTTATATAAGGACGGAGATAATAGTTTATATTAGGAAAATAAGGAAGGAAAATGATCAATTACCAGTGTGGTATGACTGAGTTACCACATGTGATGGTAACTCTAAGGTCGAGTTTAGTTAACCCTCAACTCTCACGGAAAAAATATTCTAGAATTCAAATACACGGCAAAGTGTCTAGTGTTGGTCATTTTTAACTGTGGGGTTGATATTTCCCAATTTGATCTCAGAGGATGATACAATTTAGTAATACTGTAAACCTCTTATCGTCCACACATGTTATAGAAAATAGTTTCAAATCTAAAGTGTTCGTACATTTATTTGACTAATATTCAATGTGCAAATAAATGTGGATGTAAATGCAAGTTTTATTGTAGTCTGAGATGACCACAATGGCTCTATGTTAACAAAAAGTCTTGACTAGTCTCCGTTTCATATTACAAATACCATGGGCTGTGTAAACTTTGTTGTAGATGTTCCAACAGTCTATAAATCTACGGTTTCAATAGATAACTCATAATATCATAAACCGATATGTCTGAAATTAGAACGTTTACTTGTGAATAATATGAAGCGAATCTAGAGAACACAATTGGCAATAGGTTGTGTGGTATACATGATCGTGGCGTGCAGTGATTTTTTTTCCACTATGGAACATATCTGTTGCAGCTTCATAGGCGGAAATGCCCCTTCACTCATCAAGCATATCAAGGAAGGAGGACATTTCTTTTCTTACGTTCTACAGAAGTAAGTATGTCAGTAGCTTCGGTATACAAAGACATGTTATCGTTCATGTGAAGGCTAGAGTTACGTTTGGTTACTTTTTAAATCTTTTTTGTTAACTTTATAGGAAATCTTCAGTTGTCCAGAACATTTGATTTCGGACGTTCAGAATCGTCATAGTTCCCTCCCTTGGTTTCAATTGTCTATCGCGATGTATCGCTTATTTATGAACTATTTATGAGTATGCTAATACACCAGGTTGAAGAAAAAGAGGATTTTCAAGAAACCAAAAGATTTTATCTTCAAATTTTGACCTGCTTTCCCAAACAATGCGTCAACTAAAGGAACACATGGTACTTTTAGTACGAGAACCAAAAGCAAACAAAGAAAGAAAGATAAATAATGTTAGCATAAACCTAACTTTTACTGCAGCAGAAATCTTCAGGAGCAAATATCCGTCTGTCTATTTTCCTGCTAAATACCTGAATTATTACGTACCAGGTGTACCTTTGTTATTCATTTCCGTTACAGCAACAACGAAGATGTATGAAGACATATCATTACAGTTATAAATAATACACACACACATTACAGATGCAGGATGCTGTAACAGTTTACTGAATCGTGCTATCTAAAGTTCTGTACTGATACAATACATTTATAACATATTGCATTTTTGAAAAACTTTTTGACTATCAATCACCACAATTATGACTTTCTGTATAATTGTGCAATATATCTTTCAGTTTGTCGTTTGTATCAGACTAGGTTGTACAGTTTCTACAAATACTGATTATGTGTTGTCACAATCTAGACACGTCAATACATATATGTTATAAATACGAATATATAACGAACACGATTGTCCCTGTTTAATGAAAACATCTACTCCTCGTTAAGAAAGTCATCTCCAGTCTAATGAAATCAACATGTTGTTATCAGTTTCTTCACACTCATTGTAGTCTGTATTGACCACGACTTTCCTCGAACAAATCAGTCATTCATGGAGGAGGGTACACACAATGCTGACCTCAATAGCTAGTTCCAAAGTAATTAAGAAAAATGGTTCTATGTTCAGTGATTTGATGAAAATATTAAGATTTCCAAAGTTGAGGTAATGTTTTCAGATTCGTTTGATTTCAGTCAAATTAGACTCTTATATGCTGGTAGTTCAGTCCACTCTAATGATAACAGGTTAAAAGTATGTTTTATTTAAATCTACTACATGTAAATAGATAAGAATATTGTTTGTGTTGATACAATGGAAGACTATGCGCGTCTTTGTACACGTAAGGTAATGGTGCAGAATATTGTTAATCAATGAACGGGAAATGTCGGGAGTTGATTGGCTATCTCATTACATATCTTTGTTTTCTTCAGTGCTCAAAAGTACGGACGAACTTTCCGGCTAATCATTATGAATCAGGCTATTGTTTTTACGACCGACCCTACAGCTATTAAGGTAAGTCAGCTGAGGTACACTAAATCAATGGGTCGTTCTAGGTTAACAATAAGTTGTTAGGTTAACAAGACCGACCTTACAGCTATTAAGGTAAGTCAGCTGAAGTACACTAGATCAGGGGGTCGTTCTAGGTTAACAATAAGTTGTTAGGTCAACAAGGTCGACCCTTCAGCTGTTGAGGTAAGTCAGCTGAAGTACACTAGATTAGGGCGCCATTCTAGATTAACAATAAGTTGTTAGGTTAACAAGACCGACCCTAAGGTATGTCAGCTGTAATACACTTAATCAACACAGTAATTTATTTCAAACAAAATAATACTAAAATCAATAACGATATGACACCACAATCTTAATTCAAATTCAAATTCGATTAAACTGAAGCAAATATGAACACAAGGAAGATGATTGCTTCAGCAAAGATACCCGACATGCAAATCTTGGTCATGTAAGTAATGCCACGATCCCACATGAGAACAAGGTAAATAACAACGGAACCATCAGGCAAACTAATCGCATTAGGCGCGTCTAACGTCGTATCGCACATGCAAATAGATTTCCAAATGAGGTCATTATGACGCCCATAATACTCACACTTAGTCTTCATCAGTCTGAGTCGTGAGTTTGTCCGTGAGTTGCTAATATCTTGCACGAACGTCATTATATCGGGACAAGCCTTTGAATACTGATTCAACTGTGGTATGTGAATACAACCGTTTGGGAATACAGGGTTCTGCTATTCAGAAATGGAAATTCACAATAAGGAAATTAAAATCACCACGCTTTTCATACAGCTTCGAAACAGGAAATCTTCAAGATCGACCATACGGCCCCAGGGTAAGCCAGTTTAGATACACTTGATAAATGTGGCGTCCTAGTTAGTGTTCACGACCTACCCTACAGCTATGTTAGTAAGGTACACTGAGTCAAGCTGGAGTTCTAGGTTAACTAGAAATGTTCACGACCTCCTACCCTACAGCTATGTAAGTAAGGTACACTGAGTCAAGCTGGAGTTCTAGGTTAACTAGAAATGTTCACGACCTACCCTACAGCTATGTAAGTAAGGTACACTGAGTCAAGCTAGAGGTCAAGGTTAACTAGAAATGTTCACGACCTACCCTACAGCTATGTAAGTAAGGTACACTGAGTCAAGCTGGAGTTCTAGGTTAACTAAAAATGTTCACGACCTACCCTACAGCTATGTAAGTAAGGTACACTGAGCCAAGCTGGAGTTCTAGGTTAACTAAAAATGTTCACGCCCTCCTACCCTACAGCTATGTTAGTAAGGTACACTGAGTCAAGCTGGAGTTCTAAGTTAACTAAAAATGTTCACGCCCTCCTACCATACAGCTATGTAAGTAAAGTACAATGAATCAAGCTGGAGTTCTAGGTTAACTAAAAATGTTCACGTCCTCCTACCCTACAGCTATGTTAGTAAGGTACACTGAGTCAAACTGGGGTTCTAGGTTAACTAAAAATGTTCACGCCCTCCTACCATACAGCTATGTAAGTAAAGTACAATGAATCAAGCTGGAGTTCTAGGTTAACTAAAAATGTTCACGACCTACCCTACAGCTATGTAAGTAAGGTACACTGAGTCAAGCTGGAGTTCTAGGTTAACTAAAAATGTTCACGTCCTCCTACCCTACAGCTATGTAAGTAAGGTACACTGAGTCAAGCTGGAGTTCTAGGTTAACTAGAAATGTTCACGCCCTCCTACCATACAGCTATGTAAGTAAAGTACAATGAATCAAGCTGGAGTTCTAGGTTAACTAGAAATGTTCACGACCTACCCTACAGCTATGTAAGTAAGGTACACTGAGTCAAGCTGGAGTTCTAAGTTAACTAAAAATGTTCACGTCCTCCTACCCTACAGCTATGTAAGTAAGGTACACTGAGTCAAGCTGGAGTTCTAGGTTAACTAGAAATGTTCACGACCTCCTACCCTACAGCTATGTAAGTAAGGTACACTGAGTCAAGCTGGAGTTCTAGGTTAACTAGATGTTGTGTTTTTTTACTCAGTAGATTCAGTTTCTCAGCAATATTTTGTAAAGAATATGTGATCGGAATGATGATTGCTAATTGATAATAATAAAAATATGTGGTAGATTTATGGGGCAGTAATATAGACAGAAATCAAGTTCCTCTTGGACAAACACTGATGGAGTGACATAAAAGGAATATTTAGAACAATGACTAGGACTAAGAATTATGCAAGTACAGGAACTAGAAGGGATGGTAAGGTACATTGGTCGTGATCTAGGTATGGAAAAAAATACGAGCAAGGGACAAACTATGTCAGAAGTCACCGACTAATAATCATATGCAGGTGAAAACGTTCGTTCTTATTGACAAACGACAGAGGAAGCTAGTGAGGATGGTAGCTTACAGTCTAATGAAAGTGAAAGAAGCAGAGTGTTTGGATAACAGTTTGCATATAATAGAGAGCAAGCAATGGATATGTTGTTGTATATTAACATGTTTTCACATTTTCCTTCTGTTTGCTGGGTGTTTAATTTCTCTTTTGGCCTTATGACAGTGCATCATTTTTATTTGAAATTTGAGTCTTGGAGAAAATACATTTTATTGATAATATAACATCATCAAGTCTGTAATCCTTATCAAATTTTATCATTCTCGTGTCATAAGGAGCCCGTTTAGTCTTTAGTTTCTCTGGTAGCCTGACCAATCATCTGAAGAGTTCAATTTCCGTGTTTGTCATATAAACACTAACACTTCCACTGAACTATTGCTATGATTGACTAGGCTCCGCACTATCTTAGTTTATCTCAACTTGAAGTTATAAAGACCGACCCTTCAGTTGTGAAGCTAAGTTAACTGAGGTACATAAGGTCAAGCAGGCGTTTTATGTTAACTAGAAGTTTGAAAGGCCGACCCTGCAGCTGTGAAGCTAAGTTAACTGAGGTACATAAGGTCAAGCAGGCGTTTTATGTTAACTAGAAGTTTGAAAGGCCGACCCTGCAGCTGTGAAGCTAAGTTAACTGAGGTACATAAGGTCAAGCAGGCGTTTTATGTTAACTAGAAGTTTGAAAGGCCGACCCTGCAGCTGTGAAGCTAAGTTAACTGAGGTACTTTAGGTCAAGCTGGCGTTCTATGTTAACTAGAAGTTATAAAGACCGAACCTAAAGCTATGAATCTAAGTTAACTGAGGTACTTTAGGTCAAGCTGGCGTTCTATGTTAACTAGAAGTTATAAAGACCGAACCTAAAGCTATGAATCTAAGTTAACTGAGGTACTTTAGGTCAAGCTGGCGTTCTATGTTAACTAGAAGTTATAAAGACCGAACCTAAAGCTATGAATCTAAGTTAACTGAGGTACTTTAGGTCAAGCTGGCGTTCTATGTTAACTAGAAGTTATAAAGACCGAACCTAAAGCTATGAATCTAAGTTAACTGAGGTACTTTAGGTCAAGCTGGCGTTCTATGTTAATAAGGAGTTTTAAAGCCCGGCCCAGCAGCTATGAAGCTAATTTAACTGAGGTACAGGTAGGTCAAACTGGCGTATTCACCTTCTTAGCTTATGTTATATTGTTTGAAAAAAAATATACAAAATGATTGAAGACAAAATTTTGATTGAAAATGTCAATTTATCCTCCAACAGGAAATGGTAGTCTCTAACCACAAAAAACCCAAACAAGTCTATGGAACGATGGGACATATCTTCGGAGAAAGGTAAACATGTCTGGTATATATATATATACATGTATCAGCAGAAGAGGTTCTCTCTACCCAGTGTTTATAAAGTTGTATACAATGCCACATCGATTATTATTACGGTATTAACAAAAGCAATAATTATCATCAAAACTGTCATTAATTAACAAATAAATTAATTAAAGTATACATTTATATGATTAAAAATCGACATTAGATATCAAGTTTTTAATATTCATGAAAGAGTGTAAATATTTATTGTTTATATGATAGATACATCCACTGGTAAGTAATTCCAACACTCTAATCTGACCTAATTAATATACTTACCTACCAGAACATTCATAACGCAGAAACGAAAGAAAGAATGGTTCGTTTATATCGGCGCTTTAAAAATTCTGAACACTTTTAATACAATTAAACACTAGGGTTGCCGAAGATAGGTGGGATTCAATTAAGAATGTGTGACAGTTATAATAGTATTAACACCTCAATGAATATTCAAGTATGCACTCTTGTAACCCTGAGTTAGTGAAAGGTAGACACCCTAAGGAAGGTATGGAGGAAAAATTCACACAGCTGTATGACAGATGAAGGGCAATGGACAAGATGATATAAATCTATGTAACAGTAAAGAACACGATGCTGATAGAACACAATACTTATACCTAAATACCTAGAGAAAGGTATACCGCTCGTGAACTATCGACACTAAATTCAGATGACATAACAATTTAGAGAATAGCCTCTGGCTGCCTAGATCTATCATTTCTGTCTATTCATAAAATATAATTTATTTTCTTTTAATTTAATATCTATATAATCTCGAGATTGATCTAAACAAAAATGTATTTATTTTGCATGTTATATATACTTAACTCTCAAATTACGATTTAATAAAATGAATTGAAACTTGAATTGTGTCTTGACAGGTTTTTAGGGGATGGGCTACTGACAGAGAGTGACCACAGCCGCAGCAAGGACAACATGCTTAGGCCAAAACTGCAACATTGGTTTCAGAGGAGGTATGTAGGACGAGATAGATAGGTTTTGAGAGAAGGTCTGAGAGGAGGTGGCCATAGGATGGACAGGAGAGGAAGGTCTGGAAGGAAGGAGGGGATAGATAGGTCTGAGAGAAGGGCTGGGAGGGAGGACGGGATAGATAAGTCTGAGTAAAGATCTGAGAGGATGGGTGCGATAGATAGGTCTGAGAGAAGGTCTGAGAGGGAGAACAGGATAGATAGGTCTGAGAGGATGGGTGCGATAGATAGGTCTGAGAGGGAAGGCGGGATAGATAGGTCTGAGAGGGAGGGCGGGATAGATCTTGGAGGGAGGACAGGACCGATAGGTCTAGGAGAATGTCTGACAGGCAGGACAATAGAAAGGTAAATGAGATTAGTACATCTATTGTGTGTGTATGTTTTCGGATGCTGGATATCTTTTACCCGCAAAGACAAGCAACCTGATCATATTATAATACAAAACAAGGTATGTAGAGAACCATAACATAGATTAGTCCCAATTTTGATGACGCAATGTGCAGTGGAGAATGGGAAGACGCAAGGGTAGTTAAAATGATATACCAAAAAACATACGGATAACATTTTACGATGGATATCAAAACAGAATATTTGGAGTAGAGAATAAAACAGACTTGCTTCAAGCAACTGTGACACTGTGATATACAATATAGAATAACCTGTAGTATATATACAATATCGTCTGTGATATGACAGATGTCTGTGATACTGTGATATACAATATAGAATAACCTAGATCGTCTGTGACACTGTGATATACAATATAGAATAGTAGAATACAGATCGTCTGTGACACTGTGATATACAATATAGAATAACCTAGATCGTCTGTGATACTGTGATATACAATATAGAATAACCTAGATCTGATATACAATATAGTCTGTGACACTGATATGTGACACTGTGACACTGTTATATACAATATAGAATACCTAGATCGTCTGTGACACTGTGATATACAATATAGAATAACCTAGGTCGTCTGTGACACTGTTATATACAATATAGAATAACCCAGGGCGTCTGTGACACTGTGATATACAATATAGAATAGCCTAGATCGTCTGTGACACTGTTATATACAATATAGAATAACCCAGGGCGTCTGTGACACTGTGATATACAATATAGATATATCGTCTGTGACACCAATATAGAATAGCCCAGGGCGTCTGTGACACTGTGATATGCAATATAGAATAGCCCAGGGCGTCTGTGACACTGTGATATGCAATATAGAATAGCCCAGGGCGTCTGTGACACTGTGATATGCAATATAGAATAGCCCAGGGCGTCTGTGACACTGTAATATACAATATAGAATAGTCTAGATCGTCTGTGACACTGTGATATACAATATAGAATAGTCTAGATCGTCTGTGACACACTGTGATATACAATATAGAATAGTCTAGATCGTCTGTGATACTGTGATATACAATATAGAATAGTCTAGATCGTCTGTGATACTGTTATATACAATATAGAATAGCCTAGATCGTCTGTGACACTGTAATATACAATATAGAATAGTCTAGATCGTCTGTGACACACTGTGATATACAATATAGAATAGTCTAGATCGTCTGTGACACTGTGATATACAATATAGAATAGTCTAGATCGTCTGTGACACACTGTGATATACAATATAGAATAGTCTAGATCGTCTGTGATACTGTGATATACAATATAGAATAGTCTAGATCGTCTGTGATACTGTTATATACAATATAGAATAGCCTAGATCGTCTGTGACACTGTAATATACAATATAGGATAGTCTAGATCGTCTGTGACACACTGTGATATACAATATAGAATAGTCTAGATCGTCTGTGACACACTGTGATATACAATATAGAATAGTCTAGATCGTCTGTGATACTGTTATATACAATATAGAATAGCCTAGATCGTCTGTGATACTGTTATATACAATATAGAATAGTCTAGATCGTCTGTGATACTATGATATACAATATAGAATAACCCAGGGCGTCTGTGACACTGTGATATACAATATAGAATAGTCTAGGTCGTCTGTGACACTGTGATATACAATATAGAATAGTCTAGATCGTCTGTGACACACTGTGATATACAATATAGAATAGTCTAGGTCGTCTGTGACACTGTGATATACAATATAGAATAGTCTAGGTCGTCTGTGACACTGTGATATACAACATAGAATAGTCTAGATCGTCTGTGACACACTGTGATATACAATATAGAATAGTCTAGGTCGTCTGTGACACTGTAATATACAATATAGAATAGTCTAGATCGTCTGTGACACACTGTGATATACAATATAGAATAGTCTAGGTCGTCTGTGACACTATAATATACAATATAGAATAGTCTAGATCGTCTGTGATATACAATATAGAATAGTCTAGATCGTCTGTGACACTGTGATATACAATATAGAATAGTCTAGGTCGTCTGTGATACTGTGATATACAATATAGAATAGTCTAGGTCGTCTGTGACACTGTGATATACAATATAGAATAACCCAGGGCGTCTGCGACACTGTGATATACAATATAGAATAGCCTAGATCGTCTGTGACACACTGTGATATACAATATAGAATAGCCTAGATCGTCTGTGACACTGTGATATACAATATAGAATAGTCTAGGTCGTCTGTGACACACTGTGATATACAATATAGAATAGTCTAGATCGTCTGTGACACACTGTGATATACAATATAGAATAGTCTAGGTCGTCTGTGACACTGTAATATACAATATAGAATAGTCTAGATCGTCTGTGACACACTGTGATATACAATATAGAATAGTCTAGATCGTCTGTGACACACTGTGATATACAATATAGAATAGTCTAGATCGTCTGTGACACTGTGATATACAATATAGAATAGTCTAGATCGTCTGTGATACTGTGATATACAATATAGAATAGCCTAGATCGTCTGTGATACTGTGATATACAATATAGAATAGTCTAGATCGTCTGTGACACACTGTGATATACAATATAGAATAGTCTAGATCGTCTGTGACACTGTGATATACAATATAGAATAGTCTAGGTCGTCTGTGATACTGTGATATACAATATAGAATAGTCTAGATCGTCTGTGATACTGTGATATACAATATAGAATAGCCTAGATCGTCTGTGATACTGTGATATACAATATAGAATAGTCTAGATCGTCTGTGACACTGTGATATACAATATAGAATAGTCTAGATCGTCTGTGATACTGTGATATACAATATAGAATAGTCTAGATCGTCTGTGATACTGTGATATACAATATAGAATAGCCTAGATCGTCTGTGACACTGTGATATACAATATAGAATAGTTTAGGTCGTCTGTGACACTGTGATATACAATATAGAATAGCCTAGATCGTCTGTGATACTGTGATATACAATATAGAATAGCCTAGATCGTCTGTGACACTGTGATATACAATATAGAATAGCCTAGATCGTCTGTGACACTGTAATATACAATATAGAATAGTCTAGATCGTCTGTGACACTGTGATATACAATATAGAATAGTCTAGATCGTCTGTGACACACTGTGATATACAATATAGAATAGTCTAGATCGTCTGTGATACTGTGATATACAATATAGAATAGTCTAGATCGTCTGTGATACTGTTATATACAATATAGAATAGCCTAGATCGTCTGTGACACTGTAATATACAATATAGAATAGTCTAGATCGTCTGTGACACACTGTGATATACAATATAGAATAGTCTAGATCGTCTGTGACACTGTGATATACAATATAGAATAGTCTAGATCGTCTGTGACACACTGTGATATACAATATAGAATAGTCTAGATCGTCTGTGATACTGTGATATACAATATAGAATAGTCTAGATCGTCTGTGATACTGTTATATACAATATAGAATAGCCTAGATCGTCTGTGACACTGTAATATACAATATAGAATAGTCTAGATCGTCTGTGACACACTGTGATATACAATATAGAATAGTCTAGATCGTCTGTGACACACTGTGATATACAATATAGAATAGTCTAGATCGTCTGTGATACTGTTATATACAATATAGAATAGCCTAGATCGTCTGTGATACTGTTATATACAATATAGAATAGTCTAGATCGTCTGTGATACTGTGATATACAATATAGAATAACCCAGGGCGTCTGTGACACTGTGATATACAATATAGAATAGTCTAGGTCGTCTGTGACACTGTGATATACAATATAGAATAGTCTAGATCGTCTGTGACACACTGTGATATACAATATAGAATAGTCTAGGTCGTCTGTGACACTGTGATATACAATATAGAATAGTCTAGGTCGTCTGTGACACTGTGATATACAATATAGAATAGTCTAGATCGTCTGTGACACACTGTGATATACAATATAGAATAGTCTAGGTCGTCTGTGACACTGTAATATACAATATAGAATAGTCTAGATCGTCTGTGACACACTGTGATATACAATATAGAATAGTCTAGGTCGTCTGTGACACTGTAATATACAATATAGAATAGTCTAGATCGTCTGTGATACTGTGATATACAATATAGAATAGTCTAGATCGTCTGTGACACTGTGATATACAATATAGAATAGTCTAGGTCGTCTGTGATACTGTAATATACAATATAGAATAGTCTAGGTCGTCTGTGACACTGTGATATACAATATAGAATAACCCAGGGCGTCTGCGACACTGTGATATACAATATAGAATAGCCTAGATCGTCTGTGACACTGTGATATACAATATAGAATAGTCTAGGTCGTCTGTGACACACTGTGATATACAATATAGAATAGCCTAGATCGTCTGTGACACTGTGATATACAATATAGAATAGTCTAGGTCGTCTGTGACACACTGTGATATACAATATAGAATAGTCTAGATCGTCTGTGACACACTGTGATATACAATATAGAATAGTCTAGG